TTTAATGCTTGGATTAATGTGATGATATATTTTTGGTTTGAGACTTTGAGTGATGATGGAAGCAGATTTTACTTCTGGAGAAGAGGATGCATTGGTATTAGTGTGGGTGCAGGTATACTCATGTTTGGAAATCGAAATAGTAACTGATATAAGTTAATTGGCCTAGTGGTCAACAAAGTGGAAGGAGACCCATGAGGTATCAGTTTCAAATCCTTGTTCTTATCCTTTGCCTAAGCCTTGGTGTAAGCAGAGATATCTGGTACCTATGTTGGTGGGAGGTACCGGGTATCCAGTGAAATAATCGAAGTGCGCACAAGATGCCCAGACACTACCATCATTAAATAAAATAAAAGAACTAATATAAGCGAATCAACATATCCGCCCGAAGATATGGGGGTGTAGGGTTTACGCTGGTACCCTTTGTGGCAAAGAGTGATGAATGAAGTTCATATGTTTTTAGGGGATTCTAGTTCTTGAATATAGGAGATCTGGATACTTAGACTAAGGTTACTAAACACTCTCAATTACTGGATTTAATATTTACTGGAGTTGGTGATTTTCGTACTAATATGACTTGAAGTTGGATAACTGTTGATATTTTTTTTTGATGAAAAAACTGTTGATATTTTAATTTGACAATTTTAATAAGTGCAAGTATTTCAACATACATATCTGATCACCAATATGTGCTACTACGTGTTGGTTCCGAACTGAAAAAGGCTACTAGTGATAATTGTGAAATATTTCTGTTAGTTACATCAAGGAAAACTTTTTCCTTCAGGAAATACATTTAATTAAGCAATTCTTTTAGCGTAATGATAGGTTTAGCTTTTTGGCTCAAAGCATTAACGCTCAATAGATTTAGCAGTGTTCCTTTTTGAAATAACAAATGTTTCTTTTCATCAATATCGAGTACATTCAACTATAATTGTCGAATGAGATTAGCTAACTATTCTTTAGCTGATGTCTTGGATACCAATCTGCACAAAACAAGCATGAAATGGAGAGGTAGCAAGATGGTTTGGCATGTCACCTATTCAGTTATTAGAATGTTCTTGTCTCTTCGACATGATATACTTAAGAAGAAGCTAAAGGTTTCTCAATCAAATATGGTTTATCTTAGTGATATGAAGATTGTTATTCAAAAAGAGAGAAAAGATTACCCATGCATTACGTCATATTAGGATGTAGATTTATATTGATTATTTATCTTGTATGTTTCCCTGTTCTTTCTTGATGAGGTGGTCTGATTTTGCAGATGCATCTGGTAGAAAAATGGATAACCTTCAGATGGTACCAAAAAATTTCTTCGCATCAGTCAACAGCGGAGAAGAGAAACCATTTGATTTCTTACGTATACTATTTGGCATGTCTGCTGAAATTATAGTAATAACATGACGAAATTGTTGCACGCTTGTCATATAATATCACTCTCTCTGTCTTTTTTCCCCCAATTGAATGTGAACTAGTAAAGCAATAGTGACATTCGATATTTATGAGGAAGTGTTAAAAGTATATGTATGATGGAGTTCTGGAATCTTGCCTTTGTTCTGTGTTACAAATGAAAGATGAAAGATTGTATTTTCAAAAGAATAACCAAAAAGCGTTTAGGACACTCAAGCAGTAAAAATTTATCAAGTACAAATGCTTAAAGGATATATGTTGTTACATGTTCTAAAGCTGAGTATATTCTTTTAAACGTTACCAAATTAACGACTACACCCAAATTGCCACAAACAACTTCCAAACCCAACAAAACACACCCTAACAACGAGGGAAAAAGAGAAGGAATGAAGGAAGACACATAAAGACCATTTCTTTCACGGTACAACATAGGAATTACATCATCCTGCTTTCTCAACTGTCCCTTCATTTGTGCTTTGATTCTTCTTTACCAAAAGTTGCTTCAATACTTGAGGTTCAGGGAATTGAACAGTCACACCTTAAAAGTTATTTGAAATGTAATTGTTTAATCACTCGAAAGAGATGTTCTTGATTTCATCTGAAAATTCAAGTGATAAACCCACCAATCAAGAAAGGTTCAAGTTATAAACCTATCAAAATACAGAATAAGTCTCTGGAGCAACTTGGTGCTCACAAACTTATGATGCATCATCATTATTTCAGACTAGTAATACTCTTCCTGGGGTGTGGGTATGAAAAGTAAAGAAATAGAGTCCCTAACTTCTAACAAGAAGAAATTTCTATTTTCTAGTAATCAAAACTATTATAGGACAAAAATCTTTTTTGTTTTGTTTTTTGGTTGAGGGTTGGCGCTTCTAATCTTGGTCATTTTTGTGCAGAGGGTGTCATAGCAGGAGGGACAGCAGGCGTTGTCGTTGAAACAGTTTTATATCCCATTGATACAATAAAAACACGACTGCAGGAAAGTCATCTATTAAATATCCCTGTTTATAATCACAAGTCAATGTCAATTATGTATGCAATGCTACTATGCTAGAATGGTGTCCTTAGTAGCTTCATAATTAGCTTTAAGATTGTCGAGACTATTAGCTCCTTATGTTGACAGGCTGGATAAAAGAGAAGTAGATAGATAATTTTGACAGAATAAACTTTTGAAGTATTCATAGTCATGTTCTGTTGCATGGTCTCCCTGACGTAGCATTTTTATACAGCTGAGCACTGCTTTTCATGGTTTGTTCTTACTCGTATTCAGGTTTTCTGCTATTAAAATAGTCACTATGCAGGCCTTTTTTTCATTTTAATTTACATTATCTCTGGTTCATCTTGAATTCTTTCTTCAGTTCTAGCATTTGCATGTCATCTAGAACAGCAGGTATTTTAGATATCCAGCTCAAGGAAACAAGTGATATGTTTACTAGATAGGGTGTCTCGGATTTGACTAAAACTGTTATTAAGCTGTCTCCCTGTGCAGGCAGCTCGTGGTGGAGGACAAATAGCCTTGAAAGGGTTGTATTCTGGGCTTGCTGGAAATCTTGCTGGAGTCCTACCGTAAGTTTACTAAAGAAATACCGTGTAATAGCATAGAACTGTTTACACCTGAACTGCTGTCAGCCTGATGCAAATGAAATTCCTTTTTCCAAACCTAACTTGCTTTCATTTCCTGAGGTGAACAGTCCTATTTTCTTGTATGGTTTCTTACCTGAGGACATTTAGTAGTGATCTCTATTGATCCTGTTCTCTTATGCAGGGCTTCTGCCATTTTTGTTGGTGTATATGAACCGGCAAAGCAAAAGTTATTGAAGATGCTTCCCGAAAATCTTAGTGCTGTGGCCCATCTTGTGAGAATATTTATCCTCCAACTGTCATGATTGCATTTGGTCTTGTTTTCTAGTTTGTGACATGACATACACCAAATTCATTAATAGAACTTCTGTGACTAGAAGTCATTTTTAAAACTTTTCTAGAGAGTGTTTGATGGCATATGCTATTCCCTGGTCATTTGTTCCCCACGGAAAAGGAAAGAGGTGCCACATGGAGAAGATTTTGATGACTTAAAAGGAACAAAATATCGGTATATTAGACGAGATGATACATTATGACACTCAGGTAACTGGCTAGCAGAAACGTAGAACATTGAAATAAGAAAAATTAACATGATGCAAATCTTGCAGTCTGTCAAGCACACACTAGTCCTGGTTACTGATTACATGCTCACCTCATAAAATATGATAACTCTATCTGGAATCCTCACGAAGTTATTTTTCTCAGGTCACTATTCTTCAAGTTATGCCTATACATTCTCTTAGTATTTTGAATATAAGTTTTCACAAAAAGGAAAAAAACAGAGTTGCTTTTATATCTCAGTGGTTGACATCTGAAGCATGCATTTTACTCTTGCAACATGTGGTTTCTGTTTCTTAATAAAATCTGCCAAACTTCATGCAGACTGCTGGTGCTTTAGGAGGCATTGCTGCTTCTTTCGTTCGTGTTCCAACTGAGGTGAATGAATAGTTTTGAGATTCTCACTTTCCTGAATATCAGGATTCTCCTTTTCTTATCTTTTTTTTTTTGATTTTGCTCGTTTAGGATACCCCCTTTGTAAATCTATTGATTGCATTTGGTTTCTTGAGACTACAGGTCATTAAACAGCGGATGCAGACTAGGCAATTTGCTTCGGCTCCTGATGCTGTTCGCCTAATTGTTTCTAAGGAAGGTTTTAAAGGTCTTTATGCGGTACGCTAGTTCTTTAAATGTCACATATCTTGTCCATAATTTCAGCACTATTTGTCCATTGTATTTCAAAACAGTTTTCGGGTAGAACTGGTTCAGTTTTTTTTTTTTTTTTTTAAATGATAGTTGGGTCCAGCAACGTGATAGATATAATTTTGGTTTATTTCATCGTAATGTGGGGACTTTTGTAGGGATATGGGTCATTTCTACTTCGAGATTTGCCATTTGACGCCATCCAGTTTTGTATCTATGAGCAGCTGCGGATAGGTTATAAGCTGGCAGTAAGTATCCTGCTTTCCAAGATGTTGAGTGCAACTTCTCATTAATATCATAGAAAACTTACCCATTTCGCTGTTGGCTCAAATGGGCAATGTTTTGGGCCATTAATATTGCTGGTAGGGCAATGTTTCTTGAACTAAGAAACATGAGGAACGTTACATTGCTGATTTTGCTTTTCGACTTGCCATCAAAGATGGAGACGATTAAGTATTTTCTGTTTGATGGAGAAAGATACAGCACTAGTCTCTGAAATTACTACTAATATCAAAGCTGCTTTATGTGCTTCGTACCAGGCAAAAAGGGACTTGAATGATCCAGAGAATGCTGTTATTGGTGCCTTTGCTGGTAATCCACCTTCAAAGCCCTATTACATGTCCATTCATTTGTAGTTCTCTGATTATGGCATGTTGGCTTTCATTTATAATATTTAAGTTGAGGATTCAGCTGCTGTGTAGAGAGTGTCACTGGCTCTTTCCTGTAAGCCTGCAGTATCAAGAAATGTAGGCTTAGGCAGACAAATTTTTACATTGCACAATTGCATTGGTTTTTGTGTGAGTCAAAGTTCACCCATAACTGACTGGACCACAAAATGATCCCTATGATTTTGACTATTCCTAATTTGGGTTAATAAATTGGTGCTTTTGCCTTTGGCTTGAAGTTCTGTAAATTCAGGTCCTATGAATTGTGAAAAGTAGAAAACTGAATTGCAGGGTTCTCAATCTTACTCTTGAAGAGTCGGTAGAATGAACCAGCAATTTGAAAATCTTTTGGGCCAATCTCAAATCTCCTCAAAAGATCTTGCAATAATACATTGCCCTACCAGCAATATTGCTGGAACACATCAATGAAATCTTCTCATTACTTATAAAAAATAATTGCCATTTATGAAACCTCTTAAAACTTATGCAGCAAAGTGTTTTTTAAGTCATGAAGAAAATATTGTAAAATCGCCATTTCAGTGAATGAATATGCAGTACTGAGCGATAATTTGGCATGATTATATGACTAAGTTACTGTTGTTTAAGGAATGTGAATAACTGAAATTCCTAATGTTTAGGTTTAGCCCGTCTACGATTATAACTTCTCATGTTACCTCTACTTTTTGCAGGTGCTCTAACTGGAGCTATAACTACCCCTCTTGATGTCATTAAGACGAGATTAATGGTTCAGGTACTTTCTTCACGTGGTAGTCAAACAATCTGTGTCTCCTAATTTCTTCATCCCATGCATGCATGGCTATAATAAAATGAGACTTCCATGAATTGCAAGATTACTTTCCATTTAATATAGGTAATGTGAAAACTCTAGTCTTGTTCCTGTGCAGGGTTCTGCCAACCAATACAAAGGCATCGTTGATTGTGTGAGGACTATTGTTGCAGAAGAAGGAGCTCCAGCACTTCTAAAGGTAGAGGGATCCCACAATTCCTTTTAGACTGCAGTACTAGGACCCAAATCTGGGTTCTTTTATCCTGGAGACTGCTTATTTTCTTGGTTTGTTGATTTGTCTCCTTTATGGAAAAATCAAATGGATGATGAAAGAGCTTAGCATCCCTGCCGCCCCTTTTCCCCATTTTCTTTCTCGGGACTACGAGGGGTATAAAAACTTAAAAGAGATCACTGACTTCTTGTCCTTTACTTTCCTGATTACTAGTTGGTTTGATTGCTCCATGCTGCATAACCAGTCTTAATTTTGATGGGACCTTAATATAGTCGTAAGCTGATACCACACATTTTCCTCATTGTTCCCTGCATATAAATAAAAATTATGTACTTTTGTCCATCTTCTCTTAACATTATATTTTAGATGCATCATCCTAAATATTCCATCAAATAGAAGCTGCTAAGGACCGACACAAGGAACTTCCCACATTTCTCCCAAGTGTATTGAGTTTCTTTGTTTTGTGACGTGCAATAAATATGAATGTGTACGTTTTGATCTAAAACTCATTAGTTGATATCTGACACATAATTGTTGACCTCTGTTTGTTTGGAATTCAATTTTATTATAGGGCATCGGGCCAAGAGTGCTGTGGATAGGCATTGGCGGATCAATATTCTTTGGTGTTCTTGAGAGGACAAAGCGATACCTTGCACAAAATCGTCCTGATAATGCAGCCTCAAAGCAGGATTAGCTTCTATACTTTCTTGCAACTAGCTGCATGTTATGGATATATAGAATTTAGTTACTACTCACTAATGGCGGTCTGCAGAATGTTGACTCTGCTAGAAAATATTCATAGAGGTAAAGAGCTAAGCTGTCCATGGAATTACTATACAAATTAGCAACAAGAAGTAGCATCTTTTGTCAGAATGTGCCCAAGTGAGATTTTGTTACTCGGAAGATTTTTAATTATTATCTTCAGGTCTTAATGTGTTAAAATCATGCAAATCAGTGAAACAAGCCAATTATTCTTTTATGTTATTTGGGTGAGAATTTCTGTTGTGTTTTTTTAAACACAATATTGGCTGCTCATTTTTTTTTTTGTTGGTTAAAATTAATGTCTAATTGACATATTTGCTTCTTTCGCATTATTCTATTATTGCTCATCTTTTTTTCTTCTTTTTCCTTTTTCCCCAATACCACAAAGCACTTATTGATGTAAGATTCAAACTAGCTTTAAAGCCTTTTCTGCTGTAACTCAATACTGTGGATCCTCTTAATCCCGGGAGAAATTAAAAAATAGCTAGATTTACAACTGGTCGTTCAAAAATAGTCCAGTTTCAAAAGTAATTGAAATTTAGCCACTTTTCATGTAAAGATAAATCTGAGCGAAAACATTGTTCAAAATCCGAAAAATACACCAGCATATTATACTGGAGTTCCAGCACAAGTATGCTGGAACTCCAGCATAATATGATGGAGTTTCAGCATAAGTACACTAGAACTCCAGCATAATATGATGGAGTTTCAGCATAAGTACACTAGAACTCCAGCATAATATATTGGAGTTCCAACAAGTACAATTGTCCAGTATAATATACTGGAGTCCGCAAATTATACCAGTCCAGCATAATATGCTGGAGTTCATACACAAGTGCACCGAACTCCAGTATATTATGCTGGACCGGTCTCTGTTGCAGCAAAATAGTGGCTATTTTTCATTGACTTCGTAAACGCTAGTTATTTTTGAATGACCAGTCCGAAAACTGGCTATACCGTGCTATTTTTACCTTAATCCTCCATTTAGAACCCAAAAAGAAAAGTCACATACAAAAATAATTTCTTCTCATACGTTTATATATGCATGTGCGAGTGTACATACAAATATATTTTTTCTCCCTGAACGGTTTAGTAAAAGTGGTTATAAATTCTTCTAGGTCAAGTAAACTAGAAGGAGAGCACTTCAACTAATCAAATATACATATGAACCTAGCCATAAACTAATTGGTCACGTGATGAAAAAGGCAACCAGCAAATAAAACCCCAAAAAGATTTAACAATTCCTGATATAAGATTCAGGAGGTATTAGTATGAACTCTTTCCAACTCACAAATATAGAGCACAAAATAAAGAAATTCCACCCACTTACATTGCATATCCACAAAAGAATATCGTACAACAATATACATGTACTCTAATATACATTCCTTAAACAACAAAACTGCACTCTGTTCACCCGTCCTCGGTTCAGTTGGAAAGAATATGGGTAAATGAACAAATAAAATGATGCCAAAAATTGCAGATCATCAACTCATCAGACCTAACCATCTATACTGTGTCTTCAAGAATTTACGCTGCTTCCTACTAAAGCTAAATTTGGGGCACAAAAATTCAAAACTGATATAGCATACAACTGTATCTGTAGGAGGTTTCATGTTCGAAGCTTACATCAGTGGAAGGTAACCTCCACCATGACCTTTCCTCAGGACAAGAGGTCCAGCATTTTCAGGGATTTTATCGAATGCTCTATTGCATGCATCAACCACATCGACAAAACCAGTTGCGATGGTAGCCAGTTGGTATCGCAACCTCAAGTCCCTAGTTCTTCTCAACAAACATCTAAATGATCTCCCGAGATACTTTGCCCATTCAGCTGGGAGCCCTCCCCCTGTCAACCACACGGAAAACTGGGATTGATCTCCTCTTGCAGCGACTTCAGCCCTATAAAATCTAGCAAGTTCGAGAAGCATCGACGGTTGAAGGGGGAGCACAGCAACAAATTCAGCCACAAACTGTTCAACGAGCTCTGGTCTGAGCATTTGATTCCAAAGTACCAGGGCCCATTCACCTGGCTGGTTAAGGCCATAAGCTTCAGCAACAATTAGTGCTTCTTGGAAACGGGATTGTTCGACCAGTGCCCGCCTTGCATTAGTTTCAGACAGATTGAGAAAGTGTAAGTCTGGCATCCGAATCTGCAGAGAGAGAAGTGATGCCTGTGCACAAGCTTGGCGTGTTTTGTTGCCAGCATCAATTGATGAGTAAACTTCAGCAGCTTCAATGAAGTACCGCATGGAAGCCAAGAGCTCATCAGTCTGATCCTTGTCAGATCGGAGGGACCACTCCTTACTTGATTGCTCTGCTCGTGACTCCAAAAGAGAAGCCGTCTCATGCTTCATATCAAAATGGCTATAAACCTATGGGAAATAGAGAGATGCACATTATTTACTCTCTAAAAGAGGCATATATTTCTGCTTTGAGGAAATGAAAACAGTTTTTGGGAGAGAAAGCAGAATGGGTTAAAGTGGGAGGATGAAGCATCTATTTGACATGAAAATGAAAAAGTACTAACCATGGCAAAAGCATCAAGATCATTGGGATTAAATTGCTTGAGTAATGTGAGAACAGCCATTCTGAATCCTCTTACTGCCTCGGCAGTGCCAGCGTTGGCATCGATAGCAGCTGAAAACTTCTGAAGAAGAAGATCGAGCTGACCATTCTCAATAAGGATACCAAGAATGAAATTAAGTGCATGGAAGTTCCCCACTCCGGTTATCAGGCGAGCTAAACATGGAAAATCACCCTCAGATACATAAGCCTCCACCTTTTTGAATGCAAGATCTACAAGAACATCAACTCCATCAAGGCATGCTGAGGACTTGTAGAAGTGGTGGGACAAAATGAGAAGCTCAACCTGAAGAACAAATTTTGCAAAGAGAGCACGTGACTTCAATTAGGCCGTAATAATTAAAAACCAAAGAGCAAAAGCTCTCACATAGCGTTACCACCTTTTTTATTGAACATGCACACTAACTCAGTAAGTCCATGATTTACAGAACAGGGCTTTCATGATGTTGACAAATGGGTGAAGACCTAAAGGACAATACACTTACTTCACAGGCATGTGGTATTCCTTGACAAGTGGCAACTAAACGCAGTAAAGCATGGCCAATTTCTGGTTCAGAGGGGCAAAGCTCAGCCCACTTCAAGAAATCAGAAAATCTCCACAATAAAGGAGCAGGCCCCTCCTCTTTTTGAGATTCCATGTAACCTCCACGATGTGCTGCTAGCAAACCCTGTGATGAGATAACATTTATAAATAAAGAGAACATTATAGACAGACTGAACTGCATACTTTTTACATAGACAACTTTGGTACTTTGTGTTTTGTTACTAGATCAAGTCGTAAAAAAACTAAGCAAATTTCTACAAAAGCTCAAATTTGATGTCATAATAATATTCTGGCATTTTTATTTTGAGTTAGTGCCCATACTCCCAGAGGAATCAAGTTCAAAAGAAAAAGTACCTTCAAAAACGACTCAGCAAGAATTTGAGCGATACTAGCTGCAGGCATATAATGTGATTGAACTAAGAGCTTTGCTTCTTCAAAAGAGTCTTGCGCTTTTAGAGATAGCAATTGTAAGAGTTCAATAGGATGCTTTTCAAATGCTTCTGAAAATGGAATACCCAAAACATTTGCAGTCTTCACAACTGATATTATTCGCATGCAAAGGCCGCGTCCCCTACCTTCAGTTAGGAGAATTGCTAAACTCTCCAGTACCTGAAGTTAAACAAGATATTAATTCTTTTCATTCTTTTCTTGCAAAGAATCATGGGTACAAGTGACAAATCAAATGATGAAAGCTAAATTGGAAGTGTCAAAAGTGGAAGAGTCTTGATCATAAATAGCAACACAAGCCAAGTCTAGACATCTTTCATGTTGGTAGAGCACCAGTTGACAGAATGTCTTATATAACGTTACTAATTGTAAGAAGATATAATGTTGACGACCACATGATCTTCCTCTATCCTCCTCTTTTCCCTTTTCTCATTCCACCCACCTCCTTATGCTTCCATCCACTGAGCCCGCAGTTCTCTCATTGGAAATAAATGCACTTCCAGCTCTGGAACTTCAGAGCAATTTGTCCAAAAGCTAACGCAGGAAACTAAATGCCGAAGTGCCGGATAATAGTCAGAACGGTAAATGCAGAAATGATTCAGGAAAGAGGGATATGAAGGACAGTCAAACATTTTTGTGTCAACCTAAAGAGGGCTAGACCAAAAGAAAAATAGGAGATAAAACCAGCTGACTACCTGGAGAGCATCAATCACGTGTTGATTAGGGAAAAGATGGTATGACTGCATAATAGAACGAAGTTCTCCATCGAGCACCAATATCGATACTTTGTTGTTTGGGGTGGCAATTGCAGCAAGCTTTAGGGCAGCATCCACAAGTTTGAATTCAAATGGTATGCAGCCTGGAGATAATTTATGTTGAAGCTGTCGGGAAGCCGCAATTTGTCCAAATTCCAGCAGTGAAAGAACAGCTCGTTCTAGCTCCGCGGGTCCAACTCTTTCCTCCCACTTCGAAAAATTTGCTTCTATTTTAAGGTTTTCATCTGGTATCTGTGAATCCTCCTTTAAATTAAAATTAATGGAGCTAGTTTCAGGCCCGTTACTTCTGTCCACTGGATCAGCTAAAGACTTTCTTGAGGGTACAAAACCTTTGGCTCTCCTTTTCACTTTTGCACCGCCCAATATGGCAACTGAAGAGCTAGAATCTGACATCTGAGTGGTCTTGAGATGTGACTGGTTACTTTCCTTTGTATCATTCCTCTCCCCAGACTTGATTCTCACTGAATTAATGTGGTTATCCATTTTAGTAATAATGCTTGCAGTTCGGTCAATAATGCTTGAGCCCTTGCCACTTGCAGGTTCACGACCAGAGAGGGTAAACTCTCCTTCGCTTTTCACTTGAGTCTCTGATTCAACCGCCAGTAGCCATGCTCTAGTTTCAATTTCTCTCAAAAGATTCAAAGGACAAACTCTGATACATTTATCCAAGAGTCATATCAAGAGGTATTAGAAGTGAATATGTTAAATAGGAGACCTCAGTAAAACACTTACGGGTTGCATTGAGTAATCGTCCCACTCAACCACTGCAGAGAAAGCAACAATAGTTCATGAAGCTCTCTAGCCGGGAGATCTTTTTCCGCTGCCTCTGCATGCTTGAGGAAAAATAATCCTGCCTATAGAAAAGGTTAGCAACCGAGATAAGTAAATAAAATAAGTCATAAAAACAATCATCAGATGAAAAGGCGTCCAGACAGTCCAGTTCTGCATTAAACTTCCCCTCCTCCCAACCCATCCTCAACTAACAGCAAGAGAAATAAAGAACAAAATTTCCATGTTTGAAAGTAAAATGAGCAGCAGTGTAGGCTGACATCACATCTATTTCATAATGTAACTAAAGTACCTGTAATGGTGGGAAGGAATATCTAAGAAAGAGAGTCTGGCAGTGACCCCATAAAGCAACCCTTTCTTCTGGAACATCCCAAAGGAATTCCTTCCACTCTGCAACCATGGACTCAGCCTTCATACATGAATGAAAAACACAAAGAGAGGAGAGATTAAGAGGATCAGATTGATCAAAAATCTGCAGTCATGAGTCAATAACAATGAAAAGAAGTATGCAAAAAAATAAAGGAGAATAGCAAGATGGTTAAATCCTTAGATGAGGAGAACAACAGATTGCAAGATGGGTAAATGCATAACATAACATAAATCACAAACAAAAAAAGGACACACCAAAGGGACAAACAATTACGTCCAAGACAGCATAGATCACATGACAACTGTCTAGATGGAGATCAACACTATCTCCAAATAGATTATAGTTCAAATATCTTAATATCAACGTTGAAGGCCATGGAAATTAAGAACATTGGGCAAAAGAGATATTTGGAAAGTAGGAATTCTGGAACATATATGATCTCATACACAGGTTCAATATACTTCTCCAAGAATTTGACTGATTATTGCTTTACGAGTCTCCTTTCCTGTTTAAGTGGTCGATCCAGCATTCTAGTATTACAATTGCATTTATTTGGTATCAGCATCAATTTTAACTTCCAAATTCCACATGTGGTAAGAAAATGTTGCATTTAACATTAGGGCTTAATCAAGTTTGTTAAAATAAGAAATAAGTGATTTTTTTGGGGTCGGGTAACATTGTATTCATCAGCACCAAGTTGGTACTGGCAATCAAAATATGTACAGATTACAGGGACCTTGTATCTTACAAGGAATCAAAAAAATCTACAAGTCATTCTGCGTCATCTATGTAGTTCTCTTTACACCAGAACTAAAAAACAATTCAGCTTAAAACAAATAAGTGATCTTCACAGTCGAGAAAGTGCTTTTCTAATTGCCCTCCACCCCAAAGATGTTGACTTAGCCTGGCTTTGAGAAGCATACTGAACTATGATCAAACAAATATTTGATACAAGTGTTTTTTTAGAAGCATTTGATACAAGTATTTTAAGTTTTCATAAAGTCATATTTTTCTGTTGGCAGTTCTTCCATATGTTAATGCCATTATGAATATCTTTAACAAAAGTCTCATTCGACTTTCTACGTCAACTAAGACTTTGGAACATAGAGTTTGATGCTTCTTCCTAGTTCGTATAGGAGACCTTTGAAGTCTAGAAACAACAATTTGTTATGCTTAAATTAACAAGGAAATGGCTATTAGGGAGATGCACCCCTCTCTGTAAAGGCCAAGGCATTTTAGGAATGATTCCTGTGAGTAGTCATGTCCCTTCTCTTATTTTCCCCACAATTAAAAGCGTCAAAAGCTTATTTATAACACATTTCACTAGGTTAAATTTTTCAAAAATTCCACACACCTGAATGCATCCATCTCTTCTTTATCAGTTAATTGAGAAATCAAATCAGTAGGCTTTACTATATTCCTGCCCAGTCAAGAGAAGCAAGCATAGGATTGGCAATATCCTTCTTAGCTGGAAATTGCTCCTTTCATCTTGAATCAATTTACCACAGAAAAATCTGCTTCTGATACTATGTGACACATTTTATTTGATAAATGACACTATTTAAGACTATTCAGCATCAGTACTTGTAAACCATTTCTGACTCAATAGCGAAAACACTTGAAAAATGAATTCCTATGTCATTCATGGATTGCACAAAGTGTGAGGTGACTTATCCCTTATGTTTCAGCCAAACCAACACCTGGCCCCCCACACCGTATTAGAGAAGGGAAGAATCAGTTCCTATGCTATAGGACACCAAGGGGTAGTTTGGACCATGGACTAAATATGAGGGGATTACAATAGAGAGATTGTTATTAGGTGAACAATAATACAAGAATGGTAAATAATACTACAAGGATTGTTGCGAGGATGGCCTGCCTTTGAGGTATTTTTATCTTCGCATGCTCTTATCCAGGTGTTTTTTCCTTGGGTAAGATAAATAATTTATTAATCAGTGGAAATTTATACAAGTCGTATTTACAAAAGAAGATAATCTACACAAAAATATGATTCTCTGCAAAAGACACCCAACCATCTATACCTCAGGGGTATATACCAAAAAGTGACTAAACATAGAAGGCTATTCCTTAAATTTACAAAATCATTTTCTATCTCTTCAGACGCTCTCCTATTATCCTCCTTCCATAAACCCACGTAAGAGCTAACGGGGCAACATCCCATGCCTTCCACCCTATAATACAACGGCTAAAGTCTTCTCATTCATAATACTCCACAGGCCACAATCATATGGTAGAGGTTATCCAGGTATTATTAGTACACACATTCTTAATCCACATTATGTCCTGCATAAAATAATAAATAGATTGTTGCATATGTTATGCTGATATTAGTAATACAGAGTTTTATATCAGAAAATAAATTTTCACTCCCTCAATTTCATTTATATTTTGGTAGTTGATTAGGTCAGAGTTTTAAGATATGAGTTTGACTTATATATTATATCAGTGATGGTGAAAGAATAATGCTAAAGTAATGGTTGAAAAGCGAGTTGACAAAGACAACACAAAGTTTAAAAGCTGAATAGCTAATATATGTTATTCTTGAAAGAAGTGAAAGTTGTGTAGAAATTGAATACCACAAAATTGAAAAGAGGGTTGGAAATATATGTAGAGTTTACACCTGAAACCCAAAGTCGTTTAACGTATGCAAAGTTTGCATTAGTAATGTAGAATTTATGCTAAAAACTGAATATCATATTAGTTTTGCAGAATTTTATGCTGAGATTATTTTATCCTTATACAGAAACCAAATAACACCTGAATGAACTCCAGCCAGTAAAATAAATAATCAAGTACTACATAAAACTAATCTTTTCAGCAAGTGTCAACTTCTTAAATCTATACCAGCATATCAGGCTTTCATTTCCCTTTTCTCATTGTTCATAGTGAATTAAGTCCCTTTCCACTCTTCAAGTGATTTGTAGATAAAACGGCATAATATTATTTAAGAGAAGGCGCAATGCAATTTACTAACTACGTTGGCAAATACAAGCAATCTTGATCTCTTCTATTGTTATAACAAGCTAGAGGAGTTATGTTATTGAGGATCTTTAAGTTAGATGGTGCAGTCCAGCTTTACAGTCCTCACTTTAACAGTGGGACCAATGCTTCCGTAAACCCTGGATGTTTTCAGATGGATAACGAGGGACAAAACGACTGGTCAAACTACATCAAGAAAGCAATGCTACAAGAAGTTACAATACCTGTTTCATAAAAAGTTCAGTAATCGGTTGATTCTAGAGGGAAGAATCAGAAGTATGACCAATGTACATTTGATTCACGTAACTGTTCTTTGTTACTTGAAATAGCAAAGCGCTAAGAATTGATCTTCTCTAGAACACTATTTGGCAAGAAATATGAGAATAAATCGACATGTTGAGTTACTAATCCTGAAAGGTAAGTGATAACTCGAATATGACCTTATTTTATTGGTACAATCTATGAATTGAAAGCCTATATAGTTCACCTAAGTAACTCAGAAGAGAAAATTAGAGAAAATGACACCCAAAGCTGCTATCTGATCTGGAAATAAACAGAATAAAGATTTCCAGCAAGACGCCTAGCTAATTTTGTATTGCGAAAGTAAAAATGACTCTTAAAAAAGAAAGCTCAACCATAAAGAAATTCCTAATTCACACTTAATATATAAGCAACAGCTCTAAAAAAATGATGTCTGAATGATAAAAACTGGCATGAGGAAGAAGAGTCCTAAATAGTAAAAGGAATACCTGTGTTTCAGTAACATGGTGCGTTGCAGATTTCCAAGATCCACCACTGGCCTCTAAATGCTTAGCCCAATTGCGTGCCTGTTCCCAATGTCCATGTTCCTCTAATGCTGTCAAAAGTGAAGCATCATCTAGTGGCTCGTTCCCAAGATGTAGGCCATCATTTTTGCGAAGAGAAGGTTCCGCTAAATTTACTTTCCAGTAGAGCCGTTGATAATATGTTGCAGCAGAACCTCCATCACCAAAATCAGTGGCAGCAAGGAGTTGTAATAAGGATCTTTTTTCATAAGGTGAAGGACATCTTGAGAGCATAGCATCAGCAGCTTTCACAGCAGTAGAACTTATCCATAAACTACCAATTTTCCCTTCTTTTCCAACTTGTGTGGGTACGTGAGGTTCTTCCTTAATTCTAGCAGAAAAGGATCCGAGATGAGCTGAAGCTTCAGAAAGGCGCATTTGAGAAAATGCCTGGAAACGAAACAGCAAAATTTGTGATATATGGAATTAGACAACTGTTGTTATATTCACGACATGTGTCCTATAAAACGAGAACACTCAGTCACACGTAATGTTACACAAGCTAGGAACAACCTCATTTCATTCTGATATAGTATTATTGTTTATTTAGATGTCTGCCAGAAACCAATCAGAATGTTATACACTCAAGGAAACAGCATCACTTTCACTCTGATTTAATACTGTTAATTATTTAGATGCCTGCCAGACGCCAATGAGATTGTATCCCAATATTTAGTTTTCGTCTTTTTCCAAAAGGGATCATCTGGAGTTACAAGAGATAATAACTTTAAAGAATAAAGGGAATCCTTTATATAATACTAAAAAAACAAAGCCCTTGACCCCTGCTTGACATAGCATACAGATTTCTCTTTGCATAAAAAGGTAGAAATTGAAAAAAGAAGATGAGGACTTAACAGCTTTCAGGTTAGTCAGAGAAGGTTTCGCTTGTTTCGCAACTTCAAAGAAACAAAAGAGTGTTACTCGCTGCTAGTTACTGGCCAAGGAGAAGAAGAGGTTCTTTGGGTTTAGTATGTCCTATTTCTTGCAGTTATTAGTGTTTTTTGTCAGTTAAGACTACATATACAATACATGAGAAACTATCCAATGAACTATTCATGCCATGTCCTCCAAAAATCTCTCTCCTTCCAAGTCCATGCCAGTTAGCAGATCAGCATGGAGAAATAATAAGGATACAGTGTCAACTTTCAAGGAAGCATTATAAGCCTTAAAGAAAAAGGAAATGGGAGACTACGAGAGAATCTCACTACACAGTGTTATAGCACCAAATTGCAAAAATTAAGGGGAACTAAGAGAAGGCAGGGAGTTGATTAACCATATCTACAACAATCAGGGATAACTTGACCAATATGGCAAACTTTGTTGCAGGCACAAGCAAACAAAAAGTATAACATGAATTGACAAATAATACATATCAAGTCAACCCAACCCCAAAACCCAAAGAAAATATGCTACTGAATATATAGGTCATTAGCTTATAAGTATTGGTTACATAATTTTTTTGTCCAAACAGTGAAAGCGATCCTGCATATACATCTAGCAACACTATTATTGATGAGTATTAGCTGAAGAGTTGCAATTCAAAGAACTAACTTGAGCCTCTTCCCCAGAGGCCAGAACTTTGTCATAATGAGGCAAGTGAATGTTGCACCATGTAAAATGATAGACCATGAGGGGACAAGAGTAGACTACTAAAGACATAACATTGAAATAGAGAGATGATTATGTCATGTGACCAATCAGCTGGATAGCAGTTTGAAAAGCTGTGAATAAACAATGAAAGACAGCAAGAACAGCGATGAAACGTTTAACAGCCAGTCAGTCTGAAGCTAAGAGAATTTTCAGCACTGAGAAGTTTCTGAGTAATGCCTCTTCATTTAAAAAATGTAACATATAATTGATAGCAACGATTTAACATACCTGAAGAGCTCGGATAAAAGGTAAGAGGGAACAAGAAGGAAGAAACATTTCAAAAGCTCTGAGCAAAGGAAGGAATAAATGCTGTTCACAAAGCACAGCAACCATTCTAGACAGAGAACCAGCCACTTCATCGGAGTCATTTGAAAGTTTCTCGTCCTGATCAACTTGCTTTTCACATTCCTCTTCAGCAGTCATGTCTTGAATTCTCACATTTCCATCTGCCTTTTGTGCATCAGGCATTGTGAAAGCTAAGGAATGCACTGACACAGGCTCCATGAGCCGTCTACGCTTTGGGATTTTGCGATTATAATGCACTGTATGTGCTTTGGCAGATGCAGGTAGGGAATTAGTTGCTTCCACAGCTGCCACGACATTGTTTGCAATCTGGGAAGCAGCATTATTAACTTTGATGGCTGATGTTTCCCTGAAAAGGATAAAATAGGAAATTACTTTGAAAAACAGTCCATGTAACTGGAAGAAGGTAGAATTTTATTAATTAATGGGGGAAAAAACAGGGATTATGATGGCAACCTTGCTGCAGTTATTTCTAGCCAAACTGTCAGGCAAGATAACGGAGAGACATCTGGAAAACAGGACGCAATTGCAGCCAAAAGTGACCAGCATAAATTCTTTGCTTGCAGGAGAAGAGCTTGTCCAGGCCTTGGTTGCCTCTCGCACTCAGCGATTATTCCAAATAGTTCGGCCGGTGTATACATATTTTCATCTGGAAATGATGTCCCATTCTTCTTTTCTCCTGTATCTGAACTTGAAGAAGAGCTAAATTTCTTCCTTGATTGCATACTCTTCAGAAGTGTTAGTATGTGGGTTTTCAGACGTGCATCACCAAACTCCTTTGATGCCTGACACATAGCAGATAAAGCAAGTGAGACAAAATCATGAGTTAGCAAGTCTTCTCCTTTTTCTATGATAAAACTAAAAGGAGATATATGTAGCAGCAAAGATTCATCAAGGGAAGATGTGATGAGAATAGATAGCTTACAACTTGCATCACTGTCTCCAAGGGGTAGCCTCCAATTTGAGCTTCTGAGAGAAAGCCAACCTGGCAAAAAAAAAAAGAACACAATTTTCATACCAAGAAAACCATTAAGTTCAGCAATGATGTTTAATTAGCTCATACCCAGTCATTGTCTCTTGCTAATATAGCAAGATATCTCGTGCTCACAGGAATTTGATGCGCCTGACAAAATGTTGTCACCAAATTCCAGTGTTCGCTTGCAGCTTTTTGCTGAGACCTCAATTCAACTCCATCACCATTACCAGTTAACAACCAAGAGCCACACGTAACTCCATCAGCTGATGACGGAAGACTTGCTGTTTCCAAGTGTTGCAGGACAAGCATGAGAGCTCGAGATGGCTGTCTACCACAGGTTGTGAACTGATCACTTTTTTGATTAGCTTGATTGAACCAATCATTCTGGCAATAATCATCTGCCAATCCTCGTGCTAAAGATTCAGTAATATTATTGTCATAAGTATTTGAATGAAATGAAGAACTCCTGGGGGAAGGTTGCTTAAAGTGATTGGAACAAGGGCCGGATTTATTAAAGGATGCTATTCTTCTCAAAGCCGCAACATCAATTTGGAGGGTACCGGGAGATAAACCGCACAACTCCAACAGAAAAGCACAAGATGCCACCAACACTGAATCAGCAAAATGCACAATAGCAAGGGGCACGACCTAAATATAAAAACAACAAATGCTAAGAGGACAATATATCAATATGCTATCATCAGAATGTGAAGCTCTGAGATTTCGTGCATGTACACTTCAGCTTGTTTTATAGAAGTATCTGACACATAAATGGACTATTTCATCACAGCACTCTTTTACTTTCAGTGAGTCATACTCCATCACAAGAGAGAGTGGTCTTCAACTGCACTCCAACCAAAGAGCATGGTATAGAGAAGGTGCATCTTTTAAATGTTTATATTCTTTCAACGTACATTTATCTCTCAGATGATATATTTAGGATAGCTCTCATAAAGTAAATTTTTGTTCCTTTTTTACAAACTTCAAGCATAAATAGAACACTTTATAAGAAGCTCTAATAAAATTAAGACCTAAGACAGAAGATACACAGACTGGAACTATTTGACTCTGTGATTTAATTCAAATAAAACCACCAACTGTTAATATCAGGTAGTTTGACTAACATGCTATGTGACAGAGGTGCAGTAGGTAAAGCATCTTGATGTCATTCGCATGAGCTTTTCTCAAAATTCGTTCCATTTGACAATTGGTTCCTTAAAGCTTTACAATCAGTTGTGATGCTGAAAGAGCAAAAGGACACTTCAAGAGCTGTAGTTAAAAGAGAAATTTTGCTTGTATACTAACAGTGTTTTAAAAGGCCTTTTTGGCATACTCCCGGGGCTCGCCCCTGGGCGGGGCACTTGCAAAACGCTTTGAGGCACACGAGTGGAACTTAGTTCTGTAAGGCTTACGCCCCAAGCGCCCGACTGTACGCCCTAAGCACGCCTAACGCTCAGGGCTCAGAGCTCGCCCAGCAATCCCAACACAAATCATGTCTCAAAAATCCATACACCGTTGTCAAATACCTACATCGTTGACCATCAAATTCTTTCATATATGACTGATCTATGAACCTAAAGATATATGAGGATTAATTTAGAGTAACTCAAATAATGAGTCATAGTATTGAATATTCTATGATTGAGAACATAGTAAAGGTGAACATCATTTGAACATTTCCTATAAATAGACAGCCTGAGTTTATTACTTCGCCATCTGTATTCATGTCTTAATTCTTTGTCTCTCAAAATGATCAAATTTGTATTACTATGCTATTTAAAATCAATTTGTATTTATTCGTGAAGGAGTATTAATTTAAGTTATAGTAGTGATAAAATTTATTGATTATTTACCTTTAGGGAGGTAAAATGTGTAGTATTATAGCATTTTTAAGAAATTGTGATTTTTAATTGTTTGAAAGTTAAGATATTGTAGTTTATTTTCGTCTCATAATAACTTTAACACCACTGCATTATTTATACTCAAATACGTGTACTAGACTTTTTGTTTTCAATGGGCTTCTCTAATCCTTTTAATTTTTTCTTGAACATTTAATTTATTTTTCATATTTTTTAATGTTATTAAGCTATTTTATTTAATTTATAAACTAAAAAATTTAAAGATCCATGGGGCTTACGCCCCATGTCTCTGGGCTTACGTCTTTCTCTGCATTAAGCGAAATGCCTCGTCTCATGCCCCGCCTTTTTAAAAACTGATATTTCCACATAGATGACTATAAAGGGACAAAAGATGACATATAGGGTTGATACAACTGAAATTAGAAAAAGATGAATGCCAGTTTGGTAATGGATTCAAAAGAAAGTGATCCTTACGGATGAAAGAAACAACTGTTCGCTCTGTGTTATAGGTGAAAGAAGCATCTGCACGTCTGACTGGATGTTTGTTTGTCCTTGCACTGAAGTACCGTGCTGCCCTCTACGTGAACTTTCTGACTTCAACTTTTGAACTCTATTTGAAAGCAGCTGATTAAAAGCTGCCAATGCACGTCCACGATGTAAATGGTGCTCAATTCCAACTCTAGATTCCTAGAGCCAGAAAGTAACATGGATTAGGGACGAAAAACGTTAAAATTAAAAATGGAACCAGGCTACATGAAAGGCAAATTGTGAGCACCTTAAGTAACTTTCAAATTGCATCAAATATATTCCCAACCAATGAATTCTGAATATACCCATTTGGGTGACATTAAAATACAAGAGCAATAAAACCTAGTTATATGCAGATTCTTCAAGTGTTTGTCCACTTGCCCCCACTCAGGAAACAACAATGAATGACATACGGAGTCACCAAGAAACAAAAACACATCGCATGATAAACCTATTTTGAGTTTGACATCACAGGAAAAGAGAAAACAATTCTCAGTTTGCTCTCACCACAGAATATAGTATGTTCTATGCAATGAGAATTACTATGTATCATTTAGTAGATAAAAGATTGAACTTTTCTCTGAATACATCTTTTTTCTTCATCTTCTATGCATAGTTTACTTTTGCTTCTAACAAAGAGCATCCGCATATACTAATTAGATGGAGGATCCATGTCTTTCCTTTGGAAATACATGTTCTATGCAATGAGAATTACTATGTATCATTTAGTAGATAAAAGATTGAACTTTTCTCTGAATACATCTTTTTTCTTCATCTTCTATGCATAGTTTACTTTTGCTTCTAACAAAGAGCATCCGCATATACTAATTAGATGGAGGATCCATGTCTTTCCTTTGGAAATCTCACTTTGCTTTTACAGAAAAAGCAATTATAAAGACTGGACACTTAGATGAATAAAAATGTTGGAAGATGACACAATATATTGATATACATTTCTAAAGAATAGAAAAACTTCAGATGAGGAGAAGTTTAAACATTTTGTTCTGGCCCTTTTCGCATGCCACTAATGATCAATAATAATACCTAATAAACATGTCCATAATAAAAGTTGTGTGTGAATCTTCTCAAGTGAACCTATGTTGTCTCTGATTAATTAATATTATCCAAACATACATTAGCAAGTATTTGGGTCATAGATATCATTGCCATGTCTATCAGGAATAGTATGATGACTATTTCATTTGTATTGCATGTGACATTTGTCCTATGAATGTGCAAGGTGGTCAGCATGCAACATGTCATAAAACTCGTCACTATAAAATAAACTACCAAAGTGAACATTAGAAAGTTCCACCAAAGCTGAAAGGCTTCAAAAAAAGCCAAATGTCTGTTGAGCTTTAAGCACGAATCTGAAATAAAGTGGGGGTTTCAGTGAAGAAAGGCCCAGATGAGGAAAAAAATAATAACAAGCATGTAATTTAAGAAAAATAACTATGTTTACTAACGGTGAGAAATGAAAATAACATGGGAGAAAGAGCGAGAAGTGTATCTCATATGATTCTCCTAAGCTATTGGGTGTTTAAATAGCATATCTACCTATTATAAACAAGGGAAAAAATCAAGACTACGTAATTACAAATAAACAACATCTCCCTAACTGATTCTACACATAATATACACCATTCTCAACACCCCCCTTACCCCCCTCCCCCCTCAGGCTGGTGCATACAAGTCGCGTGTACCAAGCTTGTTAAAAATATAACAAGTTCAAGGGTAAGTTGATCATTTGACTTCATGAAATTTGTGACAATATCACCCAAGGGCATCTTCTCTTTGACAAAGTAATCGTTGATATGTAAGTGTTTAGTTCTCACATGAAACCCTAAGAGCGGCTTGATTATCACATACAAATTCTCACTGAAATTTGTCTAAACTTCATCTCTTTGAGCAACTTTTTGGTCCAAACTAGTTTGCAAGTTGCCACAACCATTGTACGATATTCTGCTTCTACACTAGATCGAGAAGCCACACTTTGTTTCTTACTTTTCCAAGATACTAAATTACCTGCAACGAGAATACAATATTCAGAAGCAGTCTATCAGAAGATGCCCTTGCCCAATCTGCATCAGTGTATACAAAAATTTGCTCATGGCTTCAATCCTCGAAGAGTAATCCTTCCCCCGAGGCTGATTTATATATATTTAAGGAAACGAACAACTGCATCCCGGTGATTATCACATAGAGAGCGTACTCACGACACATACCCAAAAGGCGATGTCCAGTCAAGTCAAAGTGATAACATACCAACCGACCACATATACCTTCCAAGATTATTAAGGGGCTCCTGTGTCCTTACAAAAGCTTAACATTCGAATCCATGAGAGTATTAATGGGTCTACAATATATCATTTTGTCTCTTTAAGAATGTCTAAAGTGTATTTATGTTATGTGGCGACAATTCCTAATTTGGCTGAGCAACTGCAGTGCTTAGGAGATACTACAATCTGCCTAGACCCTTAGTCAAGAAGTGCGGAAAGAGATGCGGCTTCAACTCGAGAATACCATCCTGATCGTTGCCGTTATGAATATACCATTGGTATAAACTACTAACAAATAAACAGATTTGGAGCAGCATGTAGACTGAATATAGAATGATTAGCATTACTACAAGTCGTATCAAACTCCTAAATATCGTGTTGAACTTACCAAACCATGCTCGAGGAGACCTTTTCTTTTAATAAGAAATTAATCAAAATGATTAACCGCTACATACAGTTTATATTCATTCATGCCAAAGCAGCTAAGCTGTCAATCTTAATATGACACTAAATGAAACATACAAAAACTCGATGTCTTTTCCACCGTCTCCATTAGCCTAATTTTACAAGTAACAAAAACATAATTTGACACAAAACTTGCGTTGCAAATACTGCTTGAGTAAACTAATGAAAGATTGCAATTGGAATGATCAATCTCAAATTCCTCCAAGAAGTGAATAGCTTGTGTGATGGTCAGATGATTACTTTTAACTTAGAGATTCTCATCAGAACCCAATTCCTCTAGACATAAAAAATTAGGGGGCAATGACAGTAAGAGTTTTTCTCTCGACAATCTTTTCAATGCCACCGCCAAAGAACACCCTAAAGCCCTAGCCACTAGTACTGCAACTGCATTTCCTACTTATATGTACCTTTCTTTTATTGGTCTTGTCAATTTGTAGTAATTAGAGAAACTTTACAGTTGTGCATTGTCACGGATAGCAAGCATTATGTCCTGTTCCGGATATAATATGACCTGATTGTGGGTTCTGCTCTTGTAACAACTATTGGAACAATTACATCCCACCATACACGATCAAATGGATTTGGGGAAGTACCACGAAGAAAACTCATCACATTTTCATGGACCAAAGGCTTTTCAAAAGCATAAATTTTGCTTGTATTATATTATTTGATTTACATACCGAAACTGATCACATTTGAGATTGTTTTTAGCATTTGGATACGATTCAACAGTATTGTCAGCACGAGCACGAACGCCGAGCAAGTTCCTGAAGTTCGCACCTTTTCGTTTGGGAATTTGATATACAAGTCGATAGTCATCTTCATTTATCTAAAGCGGCTGATGATCATACAAAACAGTACCCAATGTCCCATCCCTCCTTAATGTTATGAAGCATTGGAAAGTAGATTTGCGCTCATCGGTATAAAGCATTTCATCCCTTGGCTCATCATTTTCCTCGGGAGAAAGATTTGAAAATGCATCCTTAAAAAGTTCTCTTTAACTTGATTTCAGGCCCTCTCATATGCTACTACATTTAACTCAAATTTGTAGGAATACCACCCCTCACAACTGCGTGGGCAATGGATATTGTGACAATTTCTCTGAAGGAAGAGCACCCTACATGAAGACACGCGCATACAAAATTGTGGAAGTCCATAAGCCCCAGCCACCATCAATCCCATTCGTGCTTTGTCTTTCATCCTAACAAGTCAGCTCAATGCAGATTTTCTTAGGAAACTGTGTGCAAACTTGACCTCCATTAACACAAACCTTGGTTTTAAGAACTCCACGATATCTATGAATATTTCAAGTTGTTTATTTTTCAAATCTTGTAATGGATTCTCTTTATTCTTAAAACGATTAGATCCAAGTATGCCTTGGCAAGGAAGGCCCCACAAATAACGTCTACATCCCCAAGAAATGGCAAAATACTTGCTTTGAAGCCCTTGGTCACAAAGTACTTTATTTTCTTTTTGCATCCATTCTAAGCAATCTATAAGCTCCCAAGTGTTTTCATCTAGGCCATAACCCTTCAAACGTACCTTAAAGTAAAGGCTAAGCTTCTTTATTTCCTTTCGGTCTCCATAGCGAACTTCTAATAGCTCTTCCACCTCAAAATTTTCACCTTCTTCGTCATCACTAGATCTCTCATTCTCATCTCCACCATCATTGTCATAGTCATCATCCCCGTCTCTTACTTTCAACAACGAGTGTGGTGCGGGTATAAGAACAATCTTGATTTTCTTTACATGGCAATCAAGAAGATTGTAATCTTCAATTTCCAAGAAGAACACACGCTTTTTGTCGACAAGCTGGTCATAAGCTTTAAGTATAGTATCCTTGGAATTGTAAAACATTGAGCAGTAAAATACTGTATGCAACCGACAACTTAAAAAAATTCAACAATCTTGTATATATAATGATCTTCACCATCTCCAACCTTTACATATCATCATCCCTAAGATTATATATCTATTTGTGAATCACTGGCTGGGTAAAAAAAGCACTTAACCTAGATTAAGTGATGGAATCACCTTGACCATTTAAGCTCATAGGCCCACCATTAGCTCCTTGCCAATATAACGCTAAGGCCACTGTTATCCAGATTCCGCATCCGGAATAGTATCACTAGAAAACACTCTTGCCATTCACCTATGCAGCTCTTCTCACCTTCTTTTGAGCAGAATGTAATTCCTTCGAGCTATTGCAAACAGTTTTCTCAACCTCTCCATCTTCTACGAAGCCACTTCCACAACTGGATCTGACTTTTCCAATGCATATCGCTTTGACTTTGTCGCCGCTGTAGAAGTCTTTCATTTGCTAGGCATTGTGCAATAGACGCGGTGCGTAGCGCGTTGAGGTATCTGGGGGAGGATGAAGAGGAAATTGCTCGAGACTAATAATATAGGGATATA